CCGCGAACCTCCAAGAAAGTATCACACTGGACCTTCCCAGGGCCCTGGTACCCCCCCCCTCCTCTCCCCCTGCCTCTGCCCCCAAGACCAGAATTCAAAGCCAACTTTCTCTGGTCCTATGCCTCGGGCCTGTCGAAGTTTCTTCCCTCGTTTTGATTGGGAGGCCGGCACAAAGTGGGCATTTGGGCAAATGATTCTCGGGGGAAGATATAATTAATCGGTGTTAGACTGCGCTCTGATGAGACACCGGAAACCTCTAGTGTCCTCTCCAGGGCTCTCCAGCCGGCGTTTTGCGCCACAGCTTCCTTAAGAGAGGTAAAGGGCTGACTGCTAGGCCCGCAGTGGAAACACTTTTGCAGCCCGAAGCGCCACCTTCCACCGCGGGCGGTGGCGCGGGTGTAGCGGGGAGCGGTGGCCGTCTGAGCGCCCGGGCTGGGGGATGGGGCCGGGAGCACACGCTCCGCGGGTTGCGGCGAACGACCGACACGCGGACCGACGGGCACATGTGCGCATCTTGCCGCGCCCGCCTTCCCGCCCGCGTTCAGCACCCGAGGGGCGGCGCGCAGACTTGCGTGGAGAGTCGAAGACCGCGAGGGGCTCAATTCCCATCTCGCCGTCGCACGTGTGCCCCCTCCCCCGGCGTACAGGAAGGTGTGAACCGGGAGCTCCACTGCTCGGAACTCTGGTTTGGTCTGGGGGCTTCTTGCTCTCCACTCCCCGCCTCCCGAGTTCCAGTTCCTGGCGGGGGAGGGGTGGTGGCGGTGAGATGGGGTACAGGTGCGCCTTCGTCCTGGCTGGGGAGAGGTCCCCCTACGGTGCCCTAGTGAAGCTGCCCGTAAACAGCGGCCCGCGGCACCGAGGCCAAGCTTAATGGATTCTTGCAGATAAAAGAGCCCGGCTACCTTTCCTTCCCATAATGGCCCCTGAGGCCAACAGCTCAAAGAGGAACCCTGGGATTGCTTTACAGCACGTGGGGGGGAGGGGGGCCGGCTGGCCAGGAGGGGAAGGTGGCCCCGGCCTGTTAACCCTTTCCCTCCCGCGGCCACTCAGGCCTCCCCGGCCTCGCCCGTGCTCCCAGCAGCAGAAACAGGAGGGAGGAGAGGATGCTGCTGCAGGGGGCGGCCCCGTGACCCGGCCCCGGCTTCCGCCACTCCCTTCTCGGTCTTCTTTCTAAAGAACTTCCTAAAGGGAGAACGGAGATCAAGGGGCTGCAGTTTTGAGAGGCAGGCCAGGGGAACGTTTCTTGGGAGCTCCGGCTGACCCCCAGGATCAGCGGGTGGCAGTTTCTCTGGGCCCCGGACTCCTGTCGGGTGACCCCTGGAAGGCGTCTCCTCGCCCGGCATCTCGCCCCGCTGCGGGGGGCTGGGGTGAGGGCTGTTCCTGGGCCCCTTTGGAGACCCAGTTCTTCAGGTGTGAGTGCTGTGTACCCGGCCTGGGCGTCTCTTACAGGAAGTTTACATTTGCAAACTGCGGAGGGAGGGGAGGGAGAGAGGGGTAGTCGCATCTGCTTCCTGGCTTTTAGTTCTGGCTCCAGGAAAAGATCAAAACAATAGTTAAATGGCAATTGAAGACAAGTGATGTAAGAAATAAACAACTCAACAACAAAAATGCCCATAGGGTTGGGTTTTTTTTTTTAAAAGCCTTTATTATGGAAATAATTGCACAAACACTGAGGGAGAAAGAAAATAGTATAACGCAGCGGGTCTCAAATTTGAGCAAGCATCAGAATCACGGGAGCAGCAGCCTTGGGAGGTTTGGTGAAAACTCCAGAATGCTGGGCCCACCCCCAGAGGTTTTTATTTAGTAGATCTGAGGTCTCCTGCAGCCGCCTGAGAATTTGCAAGTTTCCTGGTGATTCTGCTGCTGGTCTCCAAAGGGCGCTATGAGAGCCACTGGTATAGTAAACTCCCTTGTAACCCTCACCCAGCTTCAATATGTAAACTGTGTCACATTTTGCCCATCAGGTTTCTTCCATTCCCTTCCCCATCTTCAGGGGGCTGGAGACTTTTATTTTATTTTATTATTTTATTTCATTTCATTTATTTTTAGGCTGTGCCATGTGGCATGCGGGAGCTTAGTTCCCCAACCAGGGATCGAACCCGTGCCCCCTGCATCGGGAGTGCGGAGTCTTAACCACAGGAAAGCTAGGGAAGTCCCCTGGAGACTTTTTAAAGCAAATCCCAGACATCATGTCATTTCACCCATATGGATGATTTTTAATTCGGTAGTTACTCCAGCCAAGAGTAGTAAACACTCTGAGAGGTACTTGGAAAAGCCTTTATGTGATTCCAGGAAGTTCAACCTCCCTTCTTGTCATTTCGCCCTGGGGCCTACTCCAGGGCCTCTCTGTAAAACCCATGCCTGCATCTTGGTTCTGAGACCACCCTTCAGGAGTTCCTTGCCAGCAAAAGTTGTCAGGTTCCTGGAAGGCTGCTGGATTTTTCCAGCAAGCTGGCCTGGTCTGGGGTGTCACCTGGTCCCCAGCTCTCAGTTTCGGGTCATTATCCCGTCTGTCCTCATGTGCTCCCCTGCCCATCATTTACCCTTGTTAGGTGTTTTCCTAACAAGGCACCTTCCCCCAGGACCAGGCTCTGAACCTCAGGGGGTTGAGGTGGTACCCATAACAGTGCAGGGCCACGATGATTTTTTTTTTTTTTTTTTTTTTTTTTTTTTGCGGTACGTGGGCCTCTCGCTGCCGTGGCCTCTCCCGTTGCGGAGCACAGGCTCCGGATGCGCAGGCTCAGCGGCCATGGCTCACGGGCCCAGATGCTCCATGGCATGGGGGATCTTCCCGGACCTGGGCACGAACCCGTGTCCCCTGCATCGGCAGGCGGACTCTCAACCACTGCGCCACCAGGGAAGCCCCACGATGATATTTTGAATCCGTTGCCTCCTCCCTTAAGAATCCTGGGCTCATCCCCAAGGGAAGCCACTATGTCTGCCGCTTCTTATAATCACTGGTGTTGGACAGGGGGAGATTCTAGCCTGAAGTTTCTGGAAATGTCCATCATCGAAGCCCAGTGTAACCTCCCTTCATTGGTGGGTCCTGTACAGTCGGGCTGTGCAGGTTGGTTTTGTTCAGAGGTGCTGAGCTCCCCCTTATGTTCCACCTGGCTCATTCTCATTGTGAAGCTTCTCGACCCCCTCTAGGCCACTCCGAGAGAACCCCCCAATTTAGGATCCCTCCTCCCCCACCACGACTTTCTCACCCCCAACGCCTGGCAGTCCTACCCCATCGCTCCTACGGGATCGCAGCCCTGAGGGCTTCCTTAAGCTGTTTGCAAAGTTCACTCTCTTACATGTTGGTTGTTCTTTCTTTTTCTCTTCTCCTGACTCTCCAGGAGGCTGTATGAATTTTTCCTTTCTCCATCTGCTGCTAAAGAAAGCCGCAGGGATGGAGGAGGCTTCTCCACCCCAAGCTCTGTTTCTGTTTTCATTTTGCCTTATCTTCCTATGTTTTTCTTCTTTTGCCCGCCTGGAATCAGCTGTCACTTTTCTGTTGTCTCCCGGGTCCTTCAACTTGCCTTTGGTTTTCTAGCCTTTCTCAAAGAAAATGCGAACAGCATGTGTTTGCTCCCCTTTGGGTCCTATTGTGCCTCGTTTTGTCTGGTCGTCCATCTCCCAGGCCGCAGCTGATGTAGCAGTTTTAGCCGTTCTCCCAGGAAGGGAGGCCTGGTGCTGGGGCAGGATTTGAGATCCAGTACTGGTTCTGCCTTTTAATAGCTTGTATTGCTGGGTTCAACTTCGGAACTTCAGTTGCCTTATTCATTCATTCATTCATTCAGTAGACATGAATGAGCCTGCACTGTGTGCTGAGTGCTGTGCTGGGTGCTGGGGATACAGCTGTGAACAGAACAGACATGGTCCTGCCCTAATGGAGCTTTTATAATACATGATTATATAGAAATTATATATGAGTCGGGGAGACCGACATTAAATAGGAGACGTAAGTAAACTAGCATGTTAGAGAGTGATAAAGTCGTATGGTGAAAAAGCAAAGCAGGAAGAGGCACCAGAAATGTTCCAGGAGGGGCTGGTGTTGGTATTTCAGGGAGCGTGGCCAGGAAAGGCTTCACTGAGAAGCTGGCATAAACCGAGGCCTGAAGGAAGGCGGGTCATCTGCAGAATGGGGGCATAAATATTTCACAGACTCGTGAGGAGTAGGTGGGGTGATGTGTGTGGAACGCGTTGCCCACAGAGACAGAGCCCTTGCCTTTGTCTGGTCAATGCCTTCTCCTAAAATTGCGGTCCTTAAAACCTACTCTGAACAAGTCCAAGGTTAGAGCCCCTTTGATGGCTTTGGTGACCGTCTCCCCTGTTAGCTACTTCCTTAGGGCAGCGCTGGCCCAGAGCGGCGCCTCTGTGGGAAGCCCGGCTAGTCCCTTCAAAAAATGACATCCCTGCAAAAAATGACATCCCTGGGGAGGCTGGAGGAAGCACCCAAGGGCAGGGCCACACGGGTGTCACTCTCTCCCTTAGCTTTCGTGGCCTCGGTGACAACGCAAAGGAAGTGATAATGCAGAGGCTGATCTTTAAGGAGAGGAGGTAACAGTAGTCATGGGAGAGTTCCCCATGAGAAAGAAGATGAACCGTCTGGTTGAGGCAAAAGCTGAACCTAGGTTGTAACTGCAGCGTCAGTACTGATGCTCCTTCAGGCTGCTGTGCCTTTTAGCAATTTCTTGGTGCCGTTCCTGGTCGCTTGATAGACGAGACATTCTCAGGGATGTGCGGGCCCCCGTCCTCTTCTGTGCATAATAGGAGCTTTTCTGCACCTCGATGTCTAACGTTTATTCACTCTTCCTACCCCTTGAGGTCATCCGGGTGCTGGGCTGCAGCTGTTTTCAGAAACTCATGCAGTTGGGTGCAGAGATAACTGTGTCCCTTTTGACCTTCACTGTCTCTTTAGAATGTTGCAGGAATGAGGAGAGGGTGGAGTGTTTACCGATTCAACTCTTGGTGGTTCCCAGTTACACCGACTCAAAATTGCAGGGCCATGCGGCCTGCTCCCCTGAAGAAAAACAGCCCAACCCTCTCTGTTCTCTTTGGTGGTGTTGTTTATAGCGGTACTGGTGACAACGTAAACGGGTCTCTGTGTGGCTGCCATTGCCACGATCAGGTCTGGACAGGAGAAGCTGAAGCTTTCCACCCCAAAGCAAACAGTAGTGCTGCTGGGAAGCCGGCCGCACAGGCCAAGGGAGCTGCTCTCCCTGCCGCTGGTGAGTCACTGGAGGTTTGATCGGGGGTCTGAGCCCGGGAGAAGGCTTTCCGCTCACAGCCACTCGGAAGGCACTGCGGGCACGCGGCGTATGGGGGCTGTCTCTCGTCTCCCTTTTGGCAGAATGAACAGACTGTTCACCAGACCTTCTCGGAAAGGACTGGAGAGGCAGGCCAGGATAGAGGGAGATCTCCCACCCAACCCCTTGTGCTGGGCTCACTCTCAAAGCACCTATGTGAGTGGAGCTGGCTGGCAGGAAGGGAGAAGCAGCTGGGGGAGAGGATGTGGTTACTTTGCAAGACCCTGTTCTGCTCCAGGATCAAAACAAAACAAATTGTTGCAAAACACACTCATGTTACAATGTAACAGACCTGTAGCTATTAAAATAGTGTGTGTGTGTGTGTGTGTGTGTGTGTGTGTGTGTGTGTGTGTGTTTTCCTGGGTTTTATTATGTGGACCTTGTGGTCAATGACCATTTAGTGTGATCAGTAGTTTACCAAGAAAGAGTCATATCTCACTGTATTGCTTTGTTAGGGCTGCTAGAACAAATCACCACAGTCTCGGGGGCTTAAACGACAGATATTTATTTTCTCACAGTTCTGGAGGCTGGAAGTTTGAGATCAAGATGTCTGCAGTGTTGGTTCCTACTGAGGGCTCCCTCCTTTGTCTGCAGATGGCCGTCTTCTCCCTGTGTCCTCATCTGGTCTTCCCTCTGTGCGTGTCTGTCCAAATCGCCTCTTCTTATAAAGTCACCCACTATTAGATCCCAACCTAATGACCTCATTTAAAACTTAATTACCTCTTTGGGAATTGACATATATACACTACTGTGTATAAAATAGATAACTAATGAGAACCTACTGTATAGCACAGGGGACTCCACTCAGTGCTCTGTGGTGACCTCAATGGGAAGGAAATCCAAAAAAGAGGGGATATATATATAGGTATAGCTGATTTACTTTGCTGTACAGCAGAAACTAACACAATATTGTAAAGCAACTATACTCCAATATAAAGTAATTTTTAAAAAACGTAATTACCTCTTTTAAAAACTCTTCCTCAAATATACTCAGTTTTCTTAGGTATTGGGAATTAGTACTTCAACATATGACTTGTGGAGGACACAAGAGTCATCATGACACAGAACAGGGCCTTGGAGTTTAGAAAGTATAAGGGCTTAATCATGAAAAAAAAATCAAATGTACTAATAAGATTTTTTGTCCTGAAAAAACAGCTAAAACATTTTAGTGTTTTCCAGAACCAGTTATGCTGCAAGACTTAAAACACTTAACTATAAAACTAAGTGACCTTTGTTAGGACAATAGGATTAGAGGTAATTAACTTTGTCTCCATTTCATAAATCTTATTGTTGTTATATATTACCTTTCTCATTAAAAATTATAAATGCAAAATGAGTGGCGACATGGCACATATATCACCCTTGGAAAGCACCTATTTCAATGTCTCCTGTTTGGAGCAAGGAAGCTTGGGCACAGAGAGGGAGCCGCTGCCAACTTCCCAGCGCGCACAGTCCAAAGGCCCGCGCGCAGGTAAAGCTTTGCACCGAGGTAGCTGGGCGGTTCTGAGATTTCCGCAGGCCCACGGAAGTGGACTGGAGGTATTAAATGAGCCTCTGACCCTGAGTTGGGGCTTTTGCTACGTTTTCAGAGAATACTTTCCTTTGTTTGTGTTTCTGATAAATCTTGAAACCAGTGCCGGCTCTTCCTCAGCACCCGCGCTCCCCAGATGAGACAGGCCGGGTCTCATCGGCCTCCTCGTCTCCGCCCACGACACCCACGCAAATAGGAGCCCAGACGGGTGAGCCCTAGAGTCCTTCCAGATTCTTCTCAACGGGGGACTTGATTCCCTTCTCTGTAAGAAGAGCGTGCAAGCATCCCATCGGGGTGCAGCTTGTTTCAACAGGAGGCAGGCGCGCGTCCAGAGAGACCGGGAGCGGGGCCTCAGCCTCGCTGCGGGGGACAGAGCTTCTCGGAGCCCCCGGGAAAGCCTGTCCGCCGGCCCCCTGGCAGGAAGCACGCGTCAGAGCTCATTTATCAGGGGCTGCGCAGCACTCTGTAATCCAGACCCTGGGGATCTGATGTGAGGAAACACTTTAGATCCCTGCCACGTCCCCTGAAGGCCGAGAAGCGACTTCATGAGTCGACTGCTTCCTTCTTGCAGTGAAAATTAGGATGCACGGATGTCATTTACAGGTTCCAGGAAGGATACAGTATTGTCTGATATGTGAGAAGGCGGGCGTGTGACCGGAGGAGGATGGTTTATTTCTCAGTGACGTGAGATCCCTCGCTGTTCCTTGCTGGCGTGGCAGCACTCGCCATCTGCTCCGGGATGCTCGGGGTGTGTGTGCGCCCGGCGTCGCCTGGCAGAACCCACATCCTCTGCCTGTGCATCTTCCCCTCCCAGGCGTGCCCCTTTCCCCTCTCGCCCTCGCTGCTGCTCCTGACACACTGTGGGAACGAGGTTCGTCCCTTCTCTCTGAACACAGGTCTCAAGAGTTTTCCTGCTCTGGATTTGGGGTAGCATGCTTAGTCACCAATACATTTCCTTGGTGATTTTAAAAAATGGTGATAGAGTTTACACCGCATAAAACCTACCATTTTAAAGTGCACAGTTCAGGGGCATTAAGTACATTCACAGTGTCGGGCAACCGGCTGCACAACGCATCACCAGGACCTCCCCATCATCCCAAACAGAAGGTCTGTGCCCGGTAAACAGTCACTCCCCACCCTCCCTTCCCTCCAGCCCGAGCTAATCTCGATTTTGTTTTCTGGATTTGTGAACGTGCCTGTTCTAGGTACCTCATATACATGGCATCACAGTATTTGTCTGGCTTATTTCACTTAGCAGAGCGTCCAAGATTCATTCATGTTGTAGCATATGTTCAAACGACGTTCCTTTTTAAGGCTGAAAAATGTTCCTTTATATATATTATATACACACGTATATCACGTTTTGTTTAAGCACTTCTCTGTTGGTGGGTGTTTGGCTTTACCTCCGTCTTTCTGGCTATTGTGGATAATGCTGCTAACATTACTGTAAAACGTCTGAGTCCCTTCTTTCAGTCCTTTTGGGTATAGACTTAGCAGTGGATTTGCTGGATGGCATGGTCATTCTATGTTTAACTTCCGGAGGAACCGTCAACCCCAAATCACTAAGCATCGTGCCATTGTGTACTTATTTGTAAAAGCAGGACCACTGCCTCTTAGGGACCGGACCTCAGAGGTCATCCTTTCTACTTCCTTTGACCATGGGGCTGAATGGCCCAGGGGTTCTGTGCTCCCCAGGGCCAACCAGGCAGAGTTGAATTCCAGTTCTGATACTTGCTAGATCTGTAATGTTGGGTGAGTAACTTAAGCACTCTAAGCAACAGTTTCTAATGAGGACAATGCTATCTACTTTTGGGGGCTGTTGTGAGAAAATAAATAAGACAACATGGTAAAATGCTTGGCACAGACCCAGTGATGGGCAGCTTCTTGATGAGTGGTAGATGTCATCGTCACTGTGACCGTGTTTACAAGACTGAGAGACCCAGGGAAGATAACAGTCCTCTGGTTGCTTCTTGCCACGGCTGGTTCTAAATTTCTGTGTACATGGCTCTCTTGATGTCCATACATTACAGTATAGTGTAAGTTGAAATCCTCCTGTGAACCTTGTTCATCTCCCCTGCACTGCTCATGGCTGTGGTTGGTTGACGATTCTGATCCAGCTCGCATATTCCAGGAAGCAGGGTGACTTGGCATCAGCCCGCTCTGCTATTTATGCACCGGGTGACCTCAAGCAGGTCACTGAATCTGGCTGCTCCTCGAGTTCCCTCATAATATGGGGCATCACATCGAGCGTTCAGGGCTGTGGTTAGACCCGTGGAAAACATTTACGTAAAGTCCCAGCGCTGAGGCACTCAATGAAGAACAATTTCCATAGTTCATGCAAACAAAGACACTGATTGTCAGATGGGCAATTTAACTACTACACAAAGCTAAGGTGCCGTGGACTGTAAACTGCATCTCCATTTCCCAGATGTTGAATGTGAGGGAAATGTGCATCCTAGGACTGATGAAATATGGTAACTGCCGTTCGGTGAGTCCCGAAGTAAAAGGTCATAGAGGAAAAAAAGGAAGAAAAAACACAAACCAGAAGCTCCGAAAAACCTCACCTTTTGGAAGAGGAACAAAGGGACTGGAGTCGTTCTGCTTTTCCTGTGATTAATTTGGGACTCACACCTGGATCATGCTCAAGGAATTCCAGGAGAAAAAACGTCGTTGGAAATGCAGGCCCAGCTCGGGCACACAGAGTGGGAGAAGGAATGCTTTGGGGGGAAAATGCTCTCCCTTTTTCCGTTGTATGAGATGGAAGCAGTGTCCTTGACCTGTGGCCGCGGCTAGTGGCCGGTGGTCTGGGTGGGGAGAAGAGTCACCTTGGACTCCACAGGTTAACCGGGTCCAGCTCCCTTCCCCTCCCTCCCCCTGGGTTTCTTACACAGTGGATCCGTCTGAAGGTGCCAACTGTAGGCGAGTGACTCACTTCTGAGCCTCTGAAACACCAACTTGTTGGGTCTTGATGGAACTTCAGAGATGACCTCAACAGTGGCCTCGCCTCCGGAACACTCACGTTCCCACAGTTGGGCGTGGCTGCAGCCGCAGCAGAACCCAGGACTTCTGAATCGCTCTCCCGTGTGCACACTGGCTCTCAGAGTTTTACAGACAAGGTGGAGCGTCTGTTAGAGGTTGAGCAGGGTCGCGGATGACGTTCTGCAGATCGCCTGGACCCGCGGCCCACTGGGTTCACCAGGGTTTTACTTCTTTGGTGGAAGCTAAACTTTAATAGCTGTGACCTCTTAGCAGGTCTACGGTTAAGTCTCTTAGCAGGTCTACGGTTAAGTCATTCCTCAAGACCCTCACTCACACGAAGCAAACGCTCGCTGAGCATTTGCTACATTTCGGGCCCAGTTCTAGGCACCTTTACCTTGAGGAAGGTCCCATC